AAAACCAGGGCCTCAGCCTTTGACTTGTCATCAGTAAGGTACTCTGTCGCAATCAAGTAAAGTGCATTGAGGGCGATAAAAAAGCCGATGAGAATTCCGTAGTTCCGCCACAAATGAGAGTGCTTGTACTCGTAGTTTGCTTCAATGAAAGCATCCCCAGATACAGTTCGTTGACCGGCGACTGCACCGACAGTGGAGCAGATAAAGGACGTCCCAGTTCCATAACTCGGGATGAATGCGGAACAGTCAAATGTTCGACCATGGAATTCATTGGCCACGAGCGCTTCGAATGTATAGTAGATCGGGCTGATCCACCGGATCCACGAAAGCCAAGGATGCATATATGGCTGTGGGAGAGTAAATCCGGTATAGACGACAATGCAGAGCACAAGCACACCGGCAATCGCCATGGCCTGTCCAACAGATTTGGTCAAGGCACCGACACTGCGGAACAAGCCAGACATGGTCAGAACAGCAGTGAGCAAGAATAGGTAGTGGATGAAGAAAGCTCCCGCTTCACGGCGCAGGTTTGCCATGAAGTAGAGGACCACTGTGAAGATTGAGATTCGTATGATCTTGATCGGCAAATCGATGATGAGGCTGGCTAGTGCTTCAGTGAACGGGTGGACAAATGCATACCCAGCTTGCTTTTCGACAACGGGGCGCTGGGCATAGAGTTGGAGGATTTCGTTGATCGTAAGAATGGCATTCATAAGCACAGCAAAGTACATCACTGCGCCCTTTTGAAAGAAGAAATTGGGGGTGTCAGGAGTATTATAGAAGATGGATCCAATGATCAGAGATAGAATGATCTGAACAATAACCGGTGCCATGGCTGTTGGAAGATCTTGAAGCATTCGCTGGTAGGCTCTGTGTATGCAAAGCCGCACCTGCATAGGGATGGAGAGCAGAAAGGGGCTGCGAGCTCGAGTGTGGCGAGCTTGCTGCTCTTTGTGGCTTTCCATGAATCTTTTCTTTTCGTCGACATTTGGGTGATGTTCACGTTCGAATTCGGAAATTTCCTTGTGTAAGAGCTGGTACTCCGGGCTCTTTTTCCAATACTCGGAAAACTCCTTCGCTGTGCGGGGGACCTTGCCTTCCATGCCAGGCCGTGCCGTGCGTTCTGCTGGGTTGGTGATTGCAGTCAAAAAGTCACCACTGACTTGGCGCTCAAGTCTCTGCCATCCCATGTCTTGGAAATAGGAAACTGCACGCTCTCTGGGTCCATAGTAGATCTGGTATCCTTCGTATAAAAGAACCACCTTGTCGAAAAGATCATACATCGACTGTGATGCTTGGTAGGCGGCAATGGCATGGCAGGATTGCCCCATATCAGCCGAAAGGCGCAATGATCTCACGAATTTTAGAGCAGATGCGGCATCTAGACCACGGGTGCTGTTGTCCCATGCTCCGATGCGACAGCGAGCCAAGAACATCTCGGCAATACTGACTCGCTTTCTCTCGCCTCCGCTGACACCTCGTACAAAATTGTTGCCCACCTTGGTGTTGTAGACGTGAGACAATCCAAAGACGGACAGGACAACCTGGGTGATTGTCTCAACGTATTCATTGCGGGTCACACCCTTTAGGCGTTGTTGGGGTGCACGAGCATGGGCGGCGAATGTGAGGGTCTGACCTACGGTCAAGTGGGGGAAATGTAGGTCGACCTCCTTGTTGTATGCGACGTCTCCTCGGTGATGTTTGATCATATCTTCAAATGCAATTCCTTTGTAATGGATTGAACTTTCAGGCCCCACGGTCAAACCCCCAAGGTGTCCACAGATAGTCTTCAGGAATGTCGTGCATCCACTTCCAGGTCGACCCAGCACAAGAAGGAGCTCTCCTCCCTGGAGTAAGCCATCGAAGTTGCGGAGAATTTGTCTTGGTGGTGAGGTATGCCCAGTCAAAGCTCTGGTTGCAGCTCGGAAGGGGACTCTCAAACTGGAAGTGAGGGTTTCCTGGTATTGTAGAGCGGAGCCAGAGCCATGTATGGATAGATTGGAGAATACCACGCCTTGATTGAGAATATCGATGCCTGAATCGTTGACCTGGTCCAGTACCATTTGCGCCCATCGGCGATGATCGAATCGAGGATTGGTGGGATCGAGGTATGGGGGAATACCTTCTTTTGTGCTGGCCGATCTTGAAAGCTGTTGGCCGATTTTGCTAGAGGCAATGCGAGTCAAGGTCTGTTGTTCTCGCTCCTCTAGTATAGTTCCAGTGCGTTCCGTGATTGGAGCGAACTCGGGATCACCATAGTCCTCCATGGCGAGGAATGGACCAATGTGTATGTTTGTGTATAATTTTGAGCTCCTGGGAGCATCGGGCATGCCCAACCCTTTTAACCAAATCATCCCATCGGTAAACGGACAAGGAAGCCACCGAAGCCACCGAAGTATCCATATTTATTTCATCGGGATGGAGGCTTTCCGATGTATAACGGAGGGACGGACTCCGTTTCACCGAAAGCTTCTACTATTCTAGTGGAGCTTAGGTATATCCATAGCCTATAGGTACCTGCCTATTATTAGTATTGAGAAGTTTTCTCGTCTGATCGATGATTCTCATTGAAAAGAGATACGGCAGAAATACAAAAAAGCCGGTTTGGTTGCATCATACTGCATTGCATGCCTGTCAAATATCTACAAGTCACCTGCGCCTCCGTTCAGGATCTCATTATTATTATACTCCGTGCTCCGTACAGAGTACACGGATAGATATTATCTTCAAATACTCCAATTCGGGTTTTGAAACAGTTTACGACGACAATAATTGAGTCTGAGTGGAGCCCTCGCTGAATATCCATCCCGACCCCGAGCGTAAAGGAGGTATCGGTGATTAGGGGTGTCCCTTATCTCCATGGTCTTTTTTGCAGTGTTTGCACTGTTTGCAATGTTTGCGGTGTCTGTCATGTCTGCATCTTGGCTTAGAGACATCATATCATTTCGTCACCCAGCGCTAGACTCGATCGTTGCTTGATATGAATAAGAACCTACTTGTTTACAATGGACAATTACTTACCTCCCGGACTATCGAGTGCAATGAAGAATTCTGGAGTTGCCAATCCCAGGCCAATGCTTATTTTATATCAGTGCTAAAACTTTTTTGTTGACTATTCTTCATAATCACCCAGTCCGCGAATGACTGGCAGGTCACTGTAAGATTGCATCTGTTGACTGCGTCCAAAGGCCGTCACTAGACACACTTTAAGTCTTCCTGGGACCTCATGCTTCGAGAACTTTTGATACATCTCTGCGATGTTCTCGAATTCGTCCACATACGTGAACATCCACGACGTATCTAGTTTACCCTCCACCACCAGATCCATTAAGAACGGATAATACTGCGCCTGGTCAGTCATGAATTTCAAACCAGAAGAAAAGAAAACCTACCTTTTGGGGCCACGTTTGACCTCCACGGACTGTCAGAGCCTTCTGCATCAATGGCCCGATCGGGAAATCATGCGTCGTGGAAAAGAAGTCCCCAACCAATGCTACGTTACCACCCTTACGGGTCGCCTTGATCATTGCCGATAATGTATCACTACTATCCCTCTCGAACCCAATCGCCCCCATAGCCGAATACTCATGTTTCTGCGAAGTACGATGCCCACTAGCCTCAATAGACTGATCAAGGCCGTGGTTCTGAAGCGACAGAATGTACTCCGCCACGTCCGGATGACCATCCACATTAACAGGGATCATGCCAAAGTCCTCTGCAATCTGGAGTCGCGCCACATCGTTATCCATGCCATAGACCTTTTTCGCCCCACGGAGCTTCGCCAGTCGCTGCGTAGCGAGGCCAATAGGCCCACAGCCCCATACACCCACCACATCGCCATCCTGCACCTCAGCCAATTCCAGCGCATGCCAAGCGGTGGTCACGACATTCGTCAAACCCAGTAGCTTCTGCGCATCGACATCGTCCGGCGCCCGGACACACGATAAGTCGGCATGCGGCACGCGGCAGTATTCCGCCTGGTCACCTGGATACCCGCCACACAGCCGGCTGTAGCCCAGCTTCCCACCGAGACGGTGGCCGTACGTGGCTTCCATATTCGGGGATGGGTTTGTGTTGTCGCAGAGCGAATACTCCTGTCGCTGGCAATAACTGCAGGTGCCGCATGAGATGACGGGTAGGATGATGACCCGGTCACCGGGTTTGAGGGTCTTGACGTCCGGCCCGACCTCTTCTACAATGCCGATGGCTTCTTGGCCGAGAATGTCCCCTTTTTCCATTGCGTCTTTGAGCTCGCCTTCGTAGAGGTGGATGTCGGAACCGGAGATCGTGCAGTGGGTGATTTGGACAATGGCATCGCTGGGGTCGGTGACCTTGGGCTTGGGTACGAGTCCCACTTCGATTTTTCGTGTGCCCATCCACTGCGCTGCCTTCATCACTTCCGTGGGGTGCGGCGTGTATGCCGTGCTGCGTTGTATTAGATTGAGGCTGGCTGTGTGCGGAGGCATTTCTTACCTGGGCATTATGGCCGCCATAGTTGTGAGTAGTAGTCAATTGCCAACTCGAAAAATATTAGTTCGAATGAGTATCGAGGGGACTTATTGACTGGCTGTTGATACTGTCGACGTATAGTCGTTTGCTCCAATTGTTGAAGATTGAGCTATGGTAGACTTGGAGCAATGGCAAATTAACATCAAGATGATGCCACCAGGAGTGGCCAGAAAGTCATAGAGTTGCCATGAATGGTCATCTGATTTCTCGGTCCTATGGTTTTTCAGAAGACATATCCGAGCCGGAAACTAAGGCCGGCTATCAACACCTAACGGTTAAGGCAAAGATCAGTATAGAGTCAATAACATTGCAGTTAGGGTATCTCGATCTCAACTGGCTTTAACCACACTATTTAAATTTAAAAGTACATTTGTTCAGCATTGGTTCAATCTCATACATACACTGGTGAGAACAATGTACAGGATCATTTCGATGTTGGCAGGGATAACAAGTCAATGCATCGTATTCATGCGAAAAGAAAATAGGATATCTTAAAAAGAAGAACCGGCATCTTTATTCGCCCGCTGAGCAAAGGACTTGGGCAGTTTGGTTAACTGGCCGCTGGCCATAATGTCCCCCGAATCACTCTCGCTCCTGCTATCATCGCCAGACTCAGATTTGCCGGAGCTAGGCACCTCGTATACATTACTGGGGCGATCTCGGGCAGACTTCGGCTCAGGTCGCAGCTTAGCAGCCATTTCCTGTTGTTGGCTGCTAAGGATATCCTTGAGTGTTGGATTCGTTTTCTTTGCAACAACTGCCCGAGGTGTGGACTTTTGCGCCTCCAGCTTCTGTTCACAGGCTTTCAGTTCATTACGCAAGGTATCAAGTCGGTCGCGGAGTGACTTTCGCCTAACCATTGCGAGCCTAGAGTTGGCTAATTTCTGCAAGAGTTCCTGCATCTCAGTTAAAATGAAAGTAAGCTTGGGATCAAAGGCTTTCCCAAGCTTGCGCTTTATTTCTTCTTCCTCCTCCCTTTCCCTTTTCTTTTGTTTTGTCTCCTCGGCCCTAGAGTGTGCCTTAGCCTTCTTTTCGATCTCAATTTCCCGGGTCAACTGGTCGATATCAAAGCCGGGCGGGTAGACCACTTGACTACTGGATGGTATTTCCTGAACATGCCCGGAAGCGGATTTGGGTGTTTGGTTATCGTCATTGGTCTTAGGCGTGGCTTGGCTAGGTTTGGAGGTCGAAGGTGTTCCCAGAGTAGATTTGACATTGGGCGTGGGCGTCTGTTGAGTAGAATTTGCCTTATGTGTAGCCTTCCGTGGGGTAGGGTTGTTGGTAGTGGAGGTGGATGTGCTAATCGCAGTCTCGCGCGGAGTGGAGCGTGGAGCGGGATTCAAGCTAGAAGCAAGTTCCTCTCCTTCGGCGAAAGACACGGATCGCCTCTCCGTTGCCGGGGAATCCTTACCACGGATAGCGGATTGCAGCTTTTTTGTTCTGTCAATCGCAGGAGTATGTTTGTTAACAGCAGTTAAAGAAGACTCATCAGTAACAGAAACTTTGCCACTTGGGAAAAGTGGCCCACCGAGTGTCTGCTGGGTAGGTGTTACGTTTGATTCTTGTAGGCTGACGGGCTGCTTGCTAGGAGGGCTCTGCGTAATTCCCAGCCCAATTCCAGATCGAGGAGGTTTAGGAGGCGCTTTGTTCTCCTCTCGAACACTGGCTTGTCGAGCTGGGCTCGAGAAAGAAGGCGCACGGGATCGTCTGCGAAGTGGACTCGTTTGGGCAGGTGGCGGTTTCGATGGGGACTGCCGAGCCTGTTCAGAGGCCACAATGGCCGCGGGCACGGACACAGGAGGGGTAGATGTTGGCCGCGTCGAGGGATAGGCCTGTCCTTGGCGAGCTTCTTTGACCGACGTTGGCTCTTCGGAGGCCTGCTTTCGCTTGCGAGATCGATTCTCATGGGTTGTACCGTTTGTTGTTGACATCGCGAGATCCAGATCTGAGGACTGGAAGCTCCCGGGAATCACAGGCTCTTCCATCTGTGAATCGCCCTCTAGATCAATCACATCCCCAGTGATCGGATTCGAGTTATCAATTTGAGACGTGATAGGTCCATTCTCTTCGCTGGCGTCAGAGTCCGAGTCAGACTCGGACTCAGAGCTATCAGAGCTACCAGAGCTACCAGAGCTATCAGAGCTGTCAGAAGTGTCAGAAGTGTCAGAAATAGTCTGATATTCTGTTTTCCTCTGATCCTGCTCGGCGTTCTTCTTTTTCTCCGCTTCGACCTTGTCATCCTCGCTGTCACTCTCCTCTTCGTCCGACTCCTCACTGGAGGTCTCGACCACAGTTTCCGCTTGAGATTTCTGCGGGTGGGATACAATCCTAGCCACTGTCGCCAGATGCCCTTGTGCGTTGACTCCATTGGTCATGTCCGACTTGGATGGTATTTTCACGTTATGTTGCGGAGCAGACTCTGGTGCCACGTCAGTCGAGCTCGCGGTAGCTTCCTTGGTAGATTGTGTTTGTTGGTGGGGAATGATATGGTTAGGCGCCGACGACATGGGTGGGGATTCAGCGTCGTCAGGGATTTGCGTGATTGTTCGCTTAGCTGTACTACTCGCAATGGGTAACTTTACGAGCCTTTGCGGATTAGGTTGCAGTGGTGACCCAGCAGCTACAGGTGCAGCTGTAGGCTGGGATCTAGCGCTGGATGCTCGTCGTTCGGCTGGTGATGGAGACTCGCCCAGCTCCTCGCTTTCGTGCCTGGGAGGCGGCGTGCCAGCAATTGTAGGGCCTACGGACTTCGCTGGTAGCTGAGGGGTAGAGCGGTTGCCGGTTTCAACAGAAGAAAGAGGTAAATCGCGATGGCGGTGTTCAACAGGTGACTTCCGAGCCGAGACACGAGGGGTATTATTGGGCGATCCAGACGAATTTTCCCATTGGGTGTGATCTTGGGAAAGATATTGAGAGTGACCGCGCGAGGATTGGCCGTTGCTCTCCTCATCTTCTTCCTGGATGGCAGGGAATTGGGCTTCCATGGCTTCCTTCTTAGCCTCCATGGCGCGCTTGCGTTTGTAGGCAACAATAGCAGCATCCCAATCCTGCTCGACAGAGGGGAATCGCTCCGGGGCAGCCGCGGCAGGCTTTTGAAGAACGCGAACGGAGCCACGCTGGTCAAGGCCATCGGCGCGAGCTTTCCCGTAGTCGACCCAGACATCCGCAACAGTCAGCTCGGGATAAAGATCGAGGTCCTCCTTCGTATCGTCGAGAATCTTTTTGATCGAAAGCGATCTATCAACCAACAACAACGTTAGCAACTGAAATTCGACAGACTAGATAAGTTTCTCATCAAGTATATGAACACTCACTCCAGCTCTGGGTGGAGCTTTCCCCAATGCTCTTGAATCATGTCCGCAAGTCCGCCGAGCGAAACCTCTTCGGGGTGCTCAAGGACAAGCAAGAAAACACCAGGTTTCTTCAATGTCGGTTCCTGGCTGGAGTCATCGTTGGTAGTCTTTCGTGCGTCAGGCAAGGTCCTGCCGTAGCTGGAGCTCGAGTTCAGCTGATCCGGCGGGAAGACTTTGATTGAAAGTCGGAGGAACACCATTGCGCCAGATGATAGAATAGGCAGTAGATGAATAAGCAGCTAATGGTTTTGATTGGAGCAATGGCGCGTGAGGGGAGGGAGGTTGATAAAGGCCGGTAGAGCTGGGGAGGAAGAGCAATTAATGGTAAGGAGCAAATGAGCAAAGACGAATTTATCAGACACACATGTCCTCTCAAAGAGACAAGGTGCCAAACACCAAACGGAATGGTGCAGGGTGAGTGGGTGGGAGGGAGAAGAAAAGCGGAAGAAACTGACGCGAAGTAGTAATTGTCCAGCTCCACTTAGTTAACTAGTACTAGTCAATTGGTTATCTGCCGTGACTATAAAACACATCTGCTCATTTAAATAAGAAGAGCAAGAAGATGATAACTCATTGGTACTAGTCTATTGTTCGTTGGATCCTATAGTCCTGTCTATATTCTAAGGTTACGGGTTCCTGCAATACAGATGCTCTACTACGCATAGATGAGAACAGTACAGACACAAATTCTTGTAGTATTTTCATATATGATTTCTAAATAATGTCCCTGGAGACGGATCTATTCCGGAGGCACGAAATACCTCCGGAAGCGATCATTGTGAGCTAAATCCAGCTCAACAATGACCGAATGACAGCTCATCAACAGACTTGGGAACCTGTATGTCCAGAAATTGAGATATCCTTCGGGCAAGCCACCAATATTATCCTTAAGATGATCAGGCATATCGTTGTAGTGATTGCGCTTGTTGCGGAGAGCCCTCAGGAGATCCAGCATCCGCCCCCCGGTATATTTGCGCTGCTTGCCGAGATTGTCTTTGAAATCCCGCGGCAATGAGCGCAGGAAATCCATTTCGGGACCCATTACTCGCTTAGCCACTGATTCCAAACAAAGAAGGGCGTCTGATGGAGGCTCGCGGGGCTCAAATTCGAAGTGGTCAGATACATCGCAAAGGAAGGCGAGACGGTCTGATGGGGGCCAGAAGAACGGGTGCATTAATACAGCGCTTGCATCAGGACTAGAAATACATGTTAGTAAGTTGAGTATGTTTCCACAATTAAAAGTGCTTACCGTTGCCGAGGGTCTAGAGACAGCATTGAGCGGATCAGATCATCCGCCTCGAAAGCGTAGTCGCCTAGGCGGCTTAATTCTTCCAAATCGAATTGGCCCTTGACGATGTTTGCTTCACGCATGAACTTGCCATTCTTGTCGAATGGGTGGCTGCCACGAGTTAAGACGTAGTAGAACACACAACCCAGTGAGAAAATATCAATGGCCCGAGTGGCGCGGCGGTTAGTCTGCGGGTCCACCACAGCCGGCTCCGAAGACTCGGTGTGCTGGGATGCAAGAGATATAGGGCCGTCATCATCCACCAGGAGCTCAGGGGCACGCCAGCCGGAAGTTCCAGCGGCGTGAGCAGTGGTTGCCCGGAACGAGCTTTGGTTGTCTTCAAGTTTCTTGCACAAGCCAAAATCCGAGATGAGGAGCCGCAATGACCGCGAAACAGTGCGGCCACGGGGCATAGCCACGAGAATGTTCTGCGGCTTCAAATCACGGTGGACGATCTTCAAAGAGTGCAAGTAACGGACACCCTGTGTAATCTGCCGTAGTACGTCTGGCAGATCTAAGCCGGCTTGGACTAGTTCCGGGTAGCTAGCAGGACGCTCAATCACATCCTGAAGAGACGCTGGACAAAGCTCGAGGCCAATATACAGGAACCCGGTGGCTTGTTCACGGCAGAAGTATCGGATCACGTTGTGGTGGTCATCACTTTCCTGCAATAGGCCCACTTCATGGGACGCAATGTCATAGAATTCCATCAACATACGCTTGACCGCGACGTCTCGTCCGTCGAACGAACCGCGGTAAACCACCGTGCCATGGCTGCCGTGTCCAAGCACAACATCAGTGAAAACCCGAAGCCGGCCTATGCGAACCACGCCATCCATCTCTATAATCTCGTTCGAGATCGTCCTGGTTATCTGGGCATCGGTTTCAAGTCGAGGCTGGGGGGCTAGGGTGTTGACTTGCTCGGCAGCCTGATCGGCTCCTTCGGGGCCATCACCCTCACTGCCAGGCTTCTTGCGACGGCGGTGTGCCTTTCCTCCTCGAGATCCACGATAGCGGGTTTTTTTCTTTGGCTTTCCAGGCTCATCGGCGTCCTCGTCACCAGGCCCACGTGACGGCTCGCGAATCTGCACCCGCAGGGTGGAATCTGGATTGTATTCTCGGGAAGCACGGGGGGTTAATGCACCCTCCGGTGATGCGTCCTCCAAATCTAAGTCCACTGTGACGTTTGGAACTTCCTGGGTTGGTGTAGATGAACGCTTGATATCCGGGGCACCGCCGACAAGAGGTGTGGAAGGGGTCGAGAGAGAAGGCTTATCATTCGAGTTGATGATATTCTTGATGTCCAACTTCTGCTTTGCCAAATCGCGAATGTGATGCGAGTTGAAGTAAATGAAGGTGCAGATAAACAGTAAAATCAACGTCACGACAATATCCAAAGCATTGTCCCAGCTCTTGCGAATGATGGCGCTATTGCGCAAGGCGGGAGGCAAAGCCAGCTCAGAAGGGCTGCGAAGGATATCTCGTGGTGTGTCATTGGAAAGTTCAGAGGTGGACGATCCGGCGATTCTAGGAATATTTGGCCGGATGATACGAGGGCCAGTGAGAGAGTGAACACCGGCCAACGCATTCCGCTGCTGACGCGCACTCAGACTCATAAGCGCTTGCCCCCGGCGGAAGAAGTCTTTGTCATAGCATTGAGCCATTGGAGCCCGGCCCGTAGCCAGGGGATAGGTTTCCTCCGAAAAGGCATACCAGCCCCCCGCCTCAGTGCAATCGATATATACACGCATGTCCCTTTCCTCGTTAAGGGATCCATAATCCGGATCCGGTGGCTGGCTAGGTTGTGAGAGCAGGACTAGCGGGGTTGAGGCATCTGGTGCATCTTTGTTGGCAGGACGAACCACGTCAAAGACTCGCGCCACAGGAGATGAGAAGCGCTGGGTATAGCGAGGCCGACCCATGCGCGAGTGATCGAACCCCAGCACAACGCCATCATGCATACTGTAAATGTGACTTTCATCCATTGTCCTGTAGTACTGGCTTTGTAGGTCCATATCACGATTGTTCGGTGCCCACTCGGAGTACTTCAAGGTACAAATTGGATCTCCAGTCTCCGTGTTTTGTATGGCAACAGCATATTCAACCCGACCAAGAACCAAAGTGCCAGATGTCGACTCGCATTCATCGGATTCCAAATCTTCTCCGTCCACCTTCCGACATTCAGGTGCAGCGGTAATTGGACCACGGGAACTAAACACCCGCAGAATGCTGCCAGTCCGGGCGTCAATCGTATACAATGTAGTTTCCTTCCGGGCAGTATAGGTCACGGCGGGATCGGTGCCGGAATAAGGGGTTTCGTCAACAAGCTGCTTCACTGTTAAGCCGAGCTTTTGCAAGCCGGCGTCTGGGGCGGGGCTGTAGATATATAGGCTGCCATCCTGGCTCGGCTCGACGATCCATAAAAAGTCGTCTTCCGGTTCTGTATCGTCAAAACTGGAACGATTCGCTCGGTGGTAGATGCTTTCGACAACAGGACTGCTCGGGACCTCGAGGGCCCAACGAGCAGTCCCGGTCTTACGATCACGGGCGTGAATTGTTCCGTCGACGGTCGCCAGCAGCACAAAATCCTCAACCTCCCAGTCCTGCAAGGACCGCGCGTGAAGCTGCGAAGCCAAGCCGGCAGCGGTGCTGCTGGCTTGGACAGGAGGGGCTCGAACGGCGCGGCCGGAGCCTGCCAGAGCCAGAGTAGCAAGGGCGCTCGCATCGTTGGGTTTCACGATGGGTGGTGCGGCCACATGGGCTGCATTTTGTCTAGATGACTCTTGTGCTAGTGGCACAGAGACGCGAGATATAGGGTCATGGGCATCTGATTGCTGCAGCGGAGCGACCAGAGCTGGGAGAAGAAGGAGTGCGACACTGGCGGGGAGTGTCGAACGGACGCCCGGCAGCCGCCACCGCATCGTAGAGCTGTCAGCACAAAGATTGGATAGTAGATGAACGATCGAGGGAGCGAAGCGGGTAGGGGCGTCTCATGGGCCGATGTGAAAGGGAAGAGGTTTAATGGATCGAGTGATAGTGTGGAGCGAGTCGAGTATCCGGGTAGCGGATCATCCCCCAACCCACAAATGATCGAAATGGAAAATGGCAGGAAATTCAGTCTAATAATAATGCATGAAGCGATGGATGAAACTGTCGAGGATGCCACAATATTGAAGAGATGAAAGGATGAAAGGAGAGAGGTTGGAGAACAGGCAGAGAGATTGTGTGTAATACACGTGTACATTACAGGCTGTTACCAGGATTTCCCGCCTCCACTGCTGTAACGGTAATGTACGGTACTTTGTCCACGCACGCCTTCGATCTACACTCAATACAGCGTAGCCTAGAACAATAAGAACATTCGAGAGCCCCTTGATAGGCGTAGTCCATACAACGTATGTTGTATATGTGCATAACATTTGAACTTATATACCCTCAATGTTTTATACCAGTCATCCTTACATACCTAGTTCTTGGTTACTCCGTACTAACTATGGATTGATCATTTTGGACGAGTCTTTCAGCGTGGATCTTCACATGCTAATGACGAAGATTGAAGCCTTTGAGCAAGGTGGGTCACCCTGCGCAGCGTCAGGGGGCTAAGACCAATCAAGGGCGAGACAGCACACTACGTTCAAGGGTCTCATGAAGAAAGAATCAGTCCATTACCACCAAAGAGTTTTTTAAAAAAAAGAACTATGTAAATCAAAGCAGCACATCCAACGCCACAACCCCGTCTTCGTGCAGTACACGCCGGAAGTGCCAGTGAAGGGGAGGGGAAAAAAAGAAAAAAGAAAAGGGAAGAAAGATCAAGATAAATACAGGTGTAGAGGGATGTGGCCACAGAAGCATGTGGAGAGAAAGGGACTATAAAACAAAAAAAAGGGATAGCGGATGTTCCCAAGAATGGAA